CGCAGGTGGAGGTAAACACAGAGGGACGGTATGTCATAGTAGTGGGGACCTTCAATGACGTTATGTAAACTATCACAAATATCTATGTCCCCAACAGGGAACAAAGAAACTTTCTCCACAGGGTACTTAAGAAACTATCCACCATGCAACAAGGGATAGGGGTAATATGTGGCGACCAAAATCATGTGCTAGATCCAATGGTAGACACCACGATACCCCACACAGCCAACAGAATGAGACCGCTCAAGAGACAGGGATGGGCAGTGCAAAAGCTAATCCACGACCACCACTACTATGATGTGTGGCGAGCTTTGCACGTAGGAGAGAGGGGTTACACCTTCCTGTCCACAGGGCACAATACCTACTCACGAATTGACAGTATACTAATAACTGGCCAACATCTGGCGCAGGTTAAAGAATGTTCAATAGAACAAATCACTTGGTCAGACCACGCCCCAGTAGTAGCGACAGTAGTAGCAAACCTAAAAGCAAATGCGTGAATGGCAGAGGGAGCTACAAAACCTGAACTCCCAAAATCAACAATCCCCATCCCAAGATCTAAAGAGGCATATTATGGCCATCACACAAGCCATACACAAACAAGCCCTGGAAAAAAACGAGCCAATACCTCCACAGACTAAAAGCAACACACTACTCCCAGGGAAACAGGGCAGATAAACTAGTGGCGCAACACCTAAAAACATAACAAACGCAACATAAAATAGCCTACCTAACTTCGACTGAGGGGCACAAAGTAACAGCGCCCAAAGACATAAGCAACGTCTTTGCTCAATACTACACCTCGCTTTACAACCTAGTGAATGACGCACAAACACCGCAACCGCATCCACAAGACATACAGACATATCTGGACGTGAATCCCCTACCCCCGTTCACACCACAACAACAACAGGAACTCACAGCCACCATCACAGACGAAGTAGCAGCGGCTATAAAACTCCTACCAAGATGATTCTGCTCCCAAAATTCCAGTATCTACTGCGCACCCTTCCTATTACGCTCCCAAACACATATTTAGCCTCCTTCCAAAAATTACTAGTCCGCTATGTAGCCACCATGCTCTTGCAAAGACCAACAACAAAAGGGGGACTGGGACTACCAAATATAGAGACATACTACAAAGCAGCCCAACTAGCAACGATCAAAGGGGCGACAACAGGGGGAGAGTTACCACAATGGACCCAGATAGAGGCCCACTGGATAAACAGTCCAACACTTGGGGAATTATTTTGGATCCCACAGCAGCTCCGACCCGGAACCATGAAGCCCCTACAGACCACACAACAGCCACCATCACAGACGAAGTAGCAGCGGCTATAGAACTCCTACCAAGATGATTCTGCTCCCAAAATTCCAGTATCTACTGCGCACCCTTCCTATTACGCTCCCAAACACATATTTAGCCTCCTTCCAAAAATTACTAATCCGCTATGTAGCCACCATGCTCTTGCAAAGACCAACAACAAAAGGGGGACTGGGACTACCAAATATAGTTCTGTTCGGCAGGTTATGGTAGTAGTGTAGCAGCTGCGCGTAATGGAACCAGTGCAGGATCGTGAGCGAGTTTCCGTCTGCCAGCTCCCCAAGCGGTTTCACTCCCGTATTGTGGAGAACCATATGTATGGGTATGTACCCGTCTTGAGCATCGATTGGCCATGCAGATGCCGCGAGTCCGTCCCCCAGTTGTGGATTATGAGTTATGGGGATTAACGGGCTTGGCTTGGGTGAGATCTGTTGTTCGTTCCTCATTGTGGACCACTGTTTTAACATTTGTGTAACCGGGGATTCCTCACCCAAGGTTGAATGCGCTTCCGTTTCTTTGTGCCATATCAGCGAGTGTAATCGGTTGTCGGTGGTATCTTTCCAAAGTGTCACCCACCGTTTCTGTGTCGAGGCCATGTGTATTTCTCTTATCCTTTGCATGACCGTTGCTTGGTGGTAACGTTTGATATCCGGAAGTGCTAGTCCTCCCCAACCTCTCGGGAGGCTGAGTTTGTCGAAGCTAATTCGCGCCCTGTCTCCCTTCCATATGTATTGAATGAATGTTGTTTTCAATCTTGCGAAAAAAGTGCGTGGAATTGTGTGTGGCGCTGTATGAAATAAGTATAAAATTCTGGGGAGGATGGGACTACCAAATATAGAGACATACTACAAAGCAGCCCAACTAGCAACGATCAAAGGGGCGACAACAGGGGGAGAGTTACCACAATGGACCCAGATAGAGGCCCACTGGATAAACAGTCCAACACTTGGGGAATTATTTTGGATCCCACAGCAGCTCCGACCCGGAACCATGAAGCCCCTACAGACCACACAACAGACACTAAGAACCTGGGATGACCTCCGAATGAAAGGAGGGGAAGGGGAAGACATAGATGGAGATGCCCCAATATCATGCCTAGCAATAGTGATCCTGAAATTTGACTCCAAAAAGTGGGCGACAGCGGGGTGCACCAA